CTAAAATAATCAACAGACATTATTTGCGCGAGTTGGTTTTGTATGTAAATCAACTGTGGGGGATAAAATGGGAAAAATAAAAATTAACCGAAAAATAATCTGTTTAGCTTTTAATCATCATAATCTCCAAAATTTTGTTTACCATATAAACGCATTTGTGTTAAGATTATAATTTAAACAACCAAACACATTTAAATAGGAATGCCAACAATTTTATTTTCTATCAATCCGATTATAATCTTCAAAAATAATCTCATCCAAACATGCCCTCAGAATAATTGGAGTCATGTGATGCTGAGCACTATATAAAACACTATACGTCAAAGTAGCAACTTTGTAAATCATAACCGCTTGGCATTTAGTCATTGAAAGTTTAGACATTTGTCTAATTAATATGAAGAAAATAAGATCCATGTTCCTCACACGTCACTGATGTCAGCTTATATACCTCTGGCAAAACGGTAAGTAACTCCAAGAATCCTGGTATATATTCTGGATGGGAATCCATCTCATCCCTAAGCCATTTCACTATACCACCATCCCCCCAGTCTTCTGCAGGCACATGCACAGCCAATGCAGCCACTGCAATGCTAATCTACAGGACCAGACAATTTTGAACAATACATTTGGGCACATTAAATTCCATATAAAATGCACAAAACTAACCAATGAAACAAACTACAAAGAAGATAGTAGGGCACAAGGGACTTCTAAAGGACACCTGAGTTCTGACTTTTGGAGGACCCCTGTGGAACTTTTTCAGTAATGTCTGCATTCAGAAACAACTATAATAAAGCTTATATGCAAACATATAAAGTATTGTTTCTACTTAAACATCTTCATGATCATGGCACCATAAACCGAACAATTTTATACCAGAGCATATGAGAAGAAAGGAGAATATAAGAAATCCCTTTAAGATGAATAAAATTACATATCTCAAACTTCAATAAACTCCCTTGGAACTGCACCAAAAATATACAGATACTCACTCACATTTAATGAGTCACGCAACGGCCGGAAAGCCGTAGAAGGAAGCTCCTCAAAGTCTCGTTGTACCTAAATCATACCAAAAAAAAGCAAGCACGAAGAAGAAGCCCTTCTAGTTAAGCATTTTTCAGTTACAAATTAGCATTTAATATTCTTAAACCCGTACAAGCAATAACTATATCAACCGGAAGTAAAAGAAGAATAGAGTTAGTAACCTTGCTTCTCAAGGTCTGAGAACAAAATATCAAGGTTTCTAGATTGCTACTGGGATCATGAAGTAAATTATCAGCCACCTGCAGAAAATAAAGCAATGTACATATGCACCGTACACAAGCATATTCGAAATTGTGTTTCAGCACTAAATTACTGAGCTCGCAATTCACAAATAAATAAAATAAAAGCCCTAATTCTCATAGAAATCTAAAAGCCACATAAATAGAAGCGACTCCAAACCACAGCTGGATGACTTGCGGCGAAGTTCACAGCTCCAGAATCAACGACAATTGTCAAATCGAAAACAAAAAAAAATAGCATTGAAAAGCAAACGAATTATCCAGTCATTGGCTCAAAATCAAATCGGCGCGCGGAGAAGAGAAGACCAAATCGGAAAGCAAAGGAAACGAATCGAGAGAGGAAGGAACGGATTGAAGAAGAACCTGCCACGCATCCAAAGTTCGCTGAAATTCTTGGAGAAAGCGATCGGCCTGCATGCGCACCGTATCATCGGGGTGATGGTACAGTGCATTTAGGGCTTCCTTCACAGTGTTCTGAAGGTCCATGGTCAAATCGAAGCGAATCGAATCGCAGCACCGATAGAGAAAGAAGAAAGCGAAGCTCAATCTAGCTCTGATTTAAGTGTGGCTTTTGGATTTTGGTGTTTTGGTGTGGGCAATGCGTTTGAAATGAGAGTGGGTTTGTTGATAAAGCGACGAAAGGGGTTTTTGGCGCCCGGTGAGAAAGGGTTGGGGTCTTGCTTGGAGGGGTTTGATAAATAAACTTTGATAAGCGATCTTCAAGAGAGAGACTGTCTCGGCCGTTCGATTTATTGACCCATGGTCAATGCGCTTTTTAGCAGAAGGTTAATACGCGATGGAGTGCGTCTGATCTGTACACGTGGCGATTACTATTCAGGTTGGAGACTGGGCCCCACTTTACAGACCGTCAATGACTCAATGCGTGAATCCTCGTTGGACGAGGAAGCCTGAACTTCAGTTGTTTTTCTTTAAATTTTTTACGTTTTGCTTGACAATATGCTTGAACTTTTGAAGATTGAATCAGTATCTCCTTGGTTTAAAAGTTAGTTAATTTTATTTTAATAATATTAAACTTCAAATATTTAATATAATTAAAATTTATGTTTAAATTATTTTAAACTATATATTTTGATTAGAACGTGTGTTTTTTATTAAAAAATAAATTGATAATTCTATTAGAATGCCTAAAAATGTTATAAAAAATAAAACCATGTTTATCTTATTCTAATATTTTTTAAAACTCATTCTAATAATTTTAATGATCAAAATTATTATATGAGCCCTGTGTAATAAAAACTTATTTAAAAAGTAATTAATTAAGTTGCACTCTTAAATGTAGTTATATATTTTTTTTTAAGAAGAAGATATGAAGTCCTATTTCAAAGCAAAACAATAGAGCCCGAGGCTTTTTATCCTAATTCAACCTAATAATTTTTAATTGAGACATTATTTTATATTTAAATTGACTTTTGTTAAAAAAATGTTAACAATCTTGTAATTTTATATACCTTTATTTTATTATCTTCTTACTTTTTAAATATTTTTTACTATTTTATAAAACAATTATTAAATGAAATGAGTATATATATATAATTTAAATTTTATATAAAGTATTTAATATTTTTAATAATTAAAAATTTGTAGAAATAAAAGGCAAGATACTTTCAATTTTTTTTACTTTGTAAAGTAAGTACTGAATTATATATATATATATAGAAAAACATGCAATAGCTTCTTCACTTGGTAATTAAGATAATTTATATGTGTAAACATTAAAAAGATTTTAAACTTATCATATTTGAATTTGATTTGGAGATCATAAATTAAACCATAGGTTAAAATAGGATGACTCCATATTTGATTTAAGTAAAATAAAATGTCAATCTCAATATTTATGACCGATGATAAATAACTAAAAGTGGTAATTTTTTATTGAAAATTTGTATTTATACTTTGAGAATATAAACTTGTAATAAATACTATATTTTTAATAAAATTATTATTTTCCTTATTTAAACTCAATCTTAATTAATAAAACCATAAATAAAATATGTCATCAAGCATTTGCATCTTATCATTTTATAGCTATCTTGATTAGGTTATTTAATTTTCTATTTGGTAAAAGGAAAGAGGCAAATAAATTAATCCAATCGAATTTAACACAGGGCAATATTTGGAGAAAAGATAAGTCATATGTGTTTTTTTTTTCCTTTAAAAATACCAACATAAAAAAGAAGAAGAAGAAGAAATAAAATATACACAACTTTAACGTCGCTGTACACTTTTTATTTACGTTTAGGAACTTATGACATAAATTTATTATTTTATAATTTTTTTACAGACCATTTCCCTGACAATTTTTGGATGATAAAATCATAGACTACGTGTTATCGTGATAAGAAGACACAGAATAAATCCTTATAATTATAATATTTTTTTAACAAAACATGAAACTTCCATAAATAACTCACTTTATCCCCCGGAAATCAAGTTGTTTGGAATCCCTCCTACTAATTCTCCTAACAACAGTAAGATGGTGTTCTGGATTAGCAAAATTATCAACGGAAGAGATAGAATTTGCCTCTGACTCTCGTAAGGAAAATAATCAAAGATAAAATAGTAGCAAGATACTCTTTAGCATACTAATTTAACTTACCGTTGGTTATTAACTAAAATTTATAAAAACTATTAAAGTAGTAGCGTAAACAATCTAAAGAGGCAAGTTCATTTAAATCGTAAGTCATTTGTGGTTTTGTACATGGAGGTGGACGAAGAAGGAAGTGCAGCAACTGTTGAGGCCAACAATGCAATGGCCATGATCACTCGCTCGCAGGAAGAGAAGGCAGCTTTGCAGATGGATGCTTGGTAGTATCAGAAAATGATGGAGGAGCATATTGAGTATGCCGAAAGAGTCCTTCAAGCAAGTAATGATGTGCATCTCAAACAAGAGGAACAAGTCAAAACATTAGAAACCCAATTGGAAATTTACAAAGATAAACCGTTATCTATGTTTTCCTTCTACCCAAACAGACCATAAAAGATTTTAAAATGGAGGAAACATGTTTTCTTGACCGGATGAAGAAAATGAAAAGTATAACTCTCTTGGCAGAGAGTGGAATCCGACACACTTGTATTCTAACGAAGTGAACCATGCATGATCCATCGTTTCCCTGCCTGATTCTGATGGCAATTGCCTAATTGACTAATCTTGAGCTTAGCCGAGAGTACTAAAACCCAAAGTAGTTATACTAAAAATGACCATAATTGAATTTCTCATGGGTTTGCTTCAAAAAGCCAACAGAAATTTAGCTTGTGATGGAAATTGACTTATTCTGACACTAGATGCTTTGCAAAGGGCAGCTCAAGAATAGGAAGCAAGGATGTGAGTTTCTTTCATCTCAAAAGTCAAAACCCTCTGCTTAATATTTGCCAACCTTGGCCTTGGGGGTCAATGAAGAGAGTTTCAAAGTTTGCTCGATCATCCCTACAGCTAGCACGTATTAATCTTTCGGCAAACTAGTCTAGAAAGTAAATGTTCATGTGATTATTCTCAACATTTTCATTTCCTATCGGTACATGTTTCTATATGCAAATTATACTGCTGGCTCTTCCGCTCTTAAGCTTCGTTAAGTCGCAGTTTTAAAGCTCTCTTATGACAAAAACTTCAGAAAATCAATGTTTGATGAGATCTTATCACAATTTTATATTTGTGTGAATGATAGCAGGTTTTCTATCAAAATGCAACAGAATCGTTAAAATATCAAATTCAATTATTGCTCAAAAAACATGATACATGTATCTTAGATATATTTGGCGTTATCCAATCTGATTCTGACAACGACTCAATTTTACTAACTTGGGGTATTTTTCATACCGACTCCACTCAAAAAACGCGAATACATGTTTTGCTATTACATACGAATTGTGATGCAACAAATCAGGAGAGAAGAATCCCTTCACAGCAGAAATTTAAAACGAAAACCACAATAAGATTATTTCAGTCGCTACATAGTGAAGCACAACATGCCCAATCAGATGATGCACGAGGAGATTAGATGCATTTCTTACAATTGATATTTGGTATATCATACTATGACAATGGACATACAGACCTACTGCATTTTTGCATCAATTGACTAGGTGGTTGTTAATCTAGCACGCTAACCAACCAGCCTAAGTGATCTTTTTTTTTCTTTAATGGAAAACCAACCCCATTGATTGATCTGTCATTCCCAATGAATCTCCCTCGAACTATGTTGTTTTTTCAAAACCACCAGCTATCTGCATATGCAACCATCCTGGCTGTGATCCCTGAGCGTATCCCCTGGCTGCTTGTGATCCAAATATTATTCCAGCAAGGTCAAATGGCTGAGTACCAACCTGAATCAAACAAATCAACTGATCAAAATCTTAGTATTCTGAAAATAAACAGTCCGAAAAAAACAATGATGAGTTACAGAAATGTTCTAGGTCTACGTAAACAATATTGGAGCTGGAGACAGAAGGCCAATTGAGAAGATTTATCTTTGCTAAACAACTAAATCTTTTACACTGGTAGGAGTGTTTGTCAAGATAGTGTCTAAACTTGATTTACTAGATAACATTCCATGACTCAATTTTTTTCCACGGGGTTATTTTGAAGCCAAAAGTAGTAATTTGACTCACATTAATTGCATAGAAATGTTAATTTTGTACGAGTGAGAATTGGTTGCTTCGGCACAATTCATTAATAACTACACTCTCTCCACTAAAATTTATTTTTAAAAGTTTGAGTGATAATCATTAAATTAGGAGTAAAAGTCGTTAAATCAAAAGAGACCCACATGATTTATGTGATTTTTAATAAATTTTAATCAATAAAAAATATATTAAAGAATGTGTAGTTAGCATTTCTCTACTACAAAAAAGCTGATTTTATTTTCTCTTCAATCTTTTAAATAATAGTTGCCAAAAGGCCCAAAAAATGTAACACAATGAGAATCTCTAAATTCTTCTGGCAGAGAAAAGTCAAAGCTTAATATTGCAAATCATAAGAGAAAATTGTCTGAATGATGCAACGAATTATGTTGTCAATATATCAAAAATGAAAAAATGGACAGTAAAAAGCCCAAGATATAACTGGTAAGCAGCAGCTCCAGACAAACATGAATCACGAGGAAGTCGCAATCCAAGATTCAGATCTCGTGTAATATTATGAAAGCTTACAGAACATTACCTAGAATCAGGCAAAGATACCTGACAATTGGGTTCACTTCAGTTGAGGATTCATACATCACTGTTACATGCAGATCACTGTACAGTGATAATTGACATTTATAAGAATCCAAAATGGATGACAATTAACAAGGTCATAGGATTCAGGGCTCCACAGAATTCACAAAAAGTATTCAGCTCATTCTTTTTCTAAGCCGTTTATAATTTTGTTTCTTGACACTCAAAGAAGTTTGCATCATTCTATTCTTTATTTACAACCTTTTCCCATACACTTATTTAGACGGAAAATGACTTCTACAATATTTTTTCAATTTTTATCAACCATATTAACTTTTTTTCAATTATTTTCCACTACCGCTGCAGTGTGCATCCATTACATTCTTCTTTCCATATCTATGCATAAAAAATCCAGCGTGTTTGCTAATTGATACACATCAGAGAGTTGTGGAAAGGCAGTTAGAGTAGACACCCAGTGTGTTTACATTGAACCTCCTTCGTATTTAATAAGAATTAGTTTAAGAAAATTGTTAACAAGTGTCCCTAATACACTGATTAAGGAACAAAATTTAAAATATATCATTAAAAATATAAACATACATTTAAAATTTACTATTTATTAATTTCTTAACGCACCAGTAAAACCCTTAGTTTAATTTTCAATAGTCTAATTTATTATACCTCTGAAAGATTTTAGGAAATTACACGGACCCATATATTTATAAATCGATGTATTCTTTAAGTTTTTTAGTAAAATATAATTCGCCCCAAAATTAACCATTTCAGTCAACAATTTCCCAGACAAGCAGGGCGCTTTTTCTCGGGTGTTCCCAAACGTCAACAACACCCCACTAATACAATTTTACTTAACTTTTCCTAAACGTAATAACTTTGACGTTAGCTTAACGTACTTGAAGTCGATAGACTTACATCCTTTGAAGGAAAACATTCAATATTAGGGCTCATGTTCAACCTCGAATTAACTGCCTCAAGCTTCATTGAAAGAAACTGCAAAAAAAAAAAAGTAATTTTGGACAGAATTAGATTCAGCAGCGTAACATAAAACATAAAAGTAACAAACATCACATCATTGAGAGGTAAACGTTAATGGATAGAAAGATAAAGGTACCCACCTCAACCTGGCGCTGCAGTGATTGGATATAGTTAATTATCTCATCCAGGACAAGTGCTTTACCAATTACCTAAATGGAAAAGGTAAAAAATAAAATGAAACAAAACAACAACAACAATAACACAACAAAATATGATGTTTATTGTTTAGTTACCTTGTTGCATCCGGGAACTAAATCTTGAAGAATTTTCATCCTCTCACTGATCTTTTCTCTTCTAGCCTGCGAAAACAACGCAAGCTTCTGAATAAACAATAATTATAAAAATACAAACAACAGAACAAGAGAGAAGTGAAGTATGAATTACTCTCTCGGCGAGACTGTGGCTATCGGTAGCTTGTCCCCTTCTGGCTCTCACGTGTATATAGTCTTGCTTAGGTGGTGATTGCTCAGAAGGTTTAGCGGTTGGTTGAGGTGACTTGTTACCGGCTACGGAGGTGGCATCAGCTTGGAGTTTGAACGCAGCGTTTTGGTCTGCTAACTTGATATGTTTATTGGAGGCAGAGTGATTCTGTTAGAAGAAGAGAGGGGTGTGAGAAATGAGAAAGAGAAAAAGGAAAAGGAAGGGAAGAAGTGGAAATGGAAAGAACGAACCAGCGAGTGAAGAGTGGGAGGGAGAAGATTGTTCCTCTTGCGGCGATTGGGAGTGTGGGGAGGAGTGGGCCAAATCTCGGACAAGGAAGGGTTATCGGAGGAGAATGTGGAGTCGTTGATGAGGGGAGGTTCCATGGAGATTCATTCAAATTGAATTGGGAACTGAGAATTGGAAATTAATTTATTGAGTGTGGAATTGAGAGGTGAGCAAGGATGAAAGGGACAGTGAGTGAGGTTAGTTTGTGATATGTGATGTTTTGCGTTTTTGTTTGTAGCATTCAAGGAGTCTCAGTCTCAGACTGGGAGTGGGAGTGGGAGTAGCCAAAGCAAAGCTCCTCTGGGTGTGGCGTACTGCGCCTACTGCGCTTCTTACTTATCTCTTCCCTGTTTTTATCTCCCCTTTCTAAAAAGCAAAATTAACATGTCATGCAACTTTAACTTCGACTATCATATATCATATCGTCTCCGGACTTTTTTTTTTCTTTTTCAAAATACAAGTAATTTTTTTATAAATTTTAGTACGATAAATATAACTTTTTTAATTCAAAAATTTCCGGCATAAATAAAAATATAATAGTATTAATAGGCAGTTTCTAATTTGATTCTTTCAATAAATAATTACGCAAAAAATTTGAAGGTAGTTTTGTTATTATTTTATTCAATTTAGATTAATTAAATATTTAATGTGACATAGTTATTCGTATCTTTAAAAATTATCACGCGTGGCTTTGTAAGTTACCAGGGATAAAATCTTTTATCAATATTATGAAAATATAAAAATGGTGATTGACTATTAATTAAGAGAAGAAAAAGTAAAACCATATAAAATTAATTTAGTTATATATATTACTTAAAAAACTATACAATTGTGTGTGTTAAAAAAATATTGTAAGAGGTTTTTAAAATGAAAAGGGTGTTTGTGTTTCCGGTGTTTATATTTGAAATACACAAGGCGTAAATGATGGAATAATTACAAGTATGGAAATTATTTGAAGTATTTTTAAAAACTTTCTTATAAAAATATGTGTACTTCAACGCTCACTCAGTCTTTAATCTATACTTGTTTACTTAATTTTTAAATGTATTTACAAGTAAAATACATAATTTTGTTTCGAAATGTGTGCCGCTTGCTTAAAAAAGATAATTATAGTTGATAAATTTTTTATATTTAGTTTTTAATATATTTACAATTAACATTCAGAATTTTATTTCTTAATGTGTGTCTTTTGCTAAAAGGCGTAATTATAGTTGATAACTTTTCTAAACTTTTTCGAGACTGACTTTAAAAATTAAATATACTTGTTTTAATAAGAGTAAAATAAATATACGTATAACAATTTTAAGAATAAATTATTTGGAGTTATTTATGGTTGTAATATTTTGCAATCAATTATCTTCTACAGTAATGAATGTTGGACTTAAAAAAAATTATGAAAAAAGAGAGTAGAAGTAAAATGCTAAAAATATATGTTGTTACATGCGGGAAAAAAATTATGTTAAAATAACTCAATAACACTTATTGACGAGAATATTAAAAAAAGTTTAATTAAACATTTACTTAAAAGATCATTGAAATGTCAATAAAAATATATATTATATATTACTCGCGTAAAAAAAAGCTTAAATTTTTTTTGTAAATAATTATAAAATAGACCATAATCAATAAAATTTTTAAAATTTTAAATTTTTACCAAACAAAACAAAGCTATGTAGTTTATTTAATTATTTCACTTAATGAAATAAAATTATATTATTGTTGTGACAGTTTCGTTTGTTTTTTTATGGATATAGTTAATTTTACATATTTTAACAATATTTTTAATATGAAAAGTGAAAATAAAATTAATTAAATATTATTTTAATTTTATATATTAACGTATATATAATATTATTAAAATTTAAATCCAATAGGATCTTTTTATTCTTCCCACTCATGATTTATCTCAATGTAGTACAGTGAATTATCGCTTTTCCTTGCTTGTGGTCGATATAAAAAATTTATTTAATGAAAAGTTTAGCGTAATATATTATTAAATGTCACGATCAATTCAATATTATTAATAATACATTATAATGAATGTCATGATGGAAATATTATTAAATGTTATGATGAGTGTCTTGATTTTTACGTTACTCGGGATGTCTCGAAAATTAACTTTAGGCTGTAATATTTTAAAAAAATGAAAACCCGTGTATCTTAGTGTGTAACCTTTTGTAAAAAACTTAAAAACGCAGTGTATGTGGCTGAAAATGAAAGTTCTTTAAGTTTTGATTAAAAAAATGAAATCACTAGTTCCTGATTATAATTTAAAATTGTTTGAATGGTTTAATTATTTTTAAACAAGTCTTAATTCGAGTTTATAAAAAAAACTAAAAGAGCTTAACTGCTTAAGTAATTCGTTCTATTCAATTTTAAATTATTCAAAACTTAAAGTAAGTTGTAAATATTAAAAGTGCATGTTTACAAAACCAAAAGATTCATCCAAACAGGCAAACACACACCTACCCACGTTAAAAAAAGTCACATAAACACGTACTTCTAACTCGCTTTGTGTTAAAATTAGTTTTGTAAATTAAGTAATGTAAAATTAAATTTACAAATATTCACTTAAACACACACCTGCAATGTTATATATACAATGCTACTCTCAGTCATTCTGAAGACATATGGTCGTTCTCTTTATCTGTTCATGTAAGCACTTTATTTTTTATTATTCTCCCAAACTAATAAAGCATCAAATAATAGGACACGAGAGATCCCCATTAGGAAGAACTTTCAATAATTTTCAGAATTAAGAAGGAGTTAATTTGTTAAATGTATTTGCTAGCCAAAAAAATATATTTTATTCACATATTTAAAAGGGTACATAAACAAAATCCTTTTTTTTTTTTTACTGATTAGAATTTGATTCTCAATTAATTGATATAATCTATCAACAGAAAACAAAATGAAAAAAAATAAAATGAGATTGTTGTCATAAACAAACAAGATGAAAAAAAAGAGACTGAAGCGTATAAAAATAAAATAAAGGCAAGACATGAAAGGGTGAACAGACAGGCAAAGAATCAGATATAACCATTCCTTTTTCTTGTTTGAGAAAATTTCTGACTCAAATGGAAGGACCGTGCTATGCTATCGCCTTTTCCTTTTGGACTTAATTATCCTTCATTCAGTTCGAACCAAACTAGTTGTCAAGGACTCACGGGCTAGTCCAAGGTTCCAGTTATGCTTAATCAATTGGTAGCACAGACCTAAAGTATTCAAAATCTTAGTCACTTACATATCAATCACTTGGATAGTAATGAATAGACCCTTGAGTTGATTCTTCCTGTTATATTCATATTCGTTAGCACTTAGCAGAGTGCTATCTCAGGTTGGGTAGGTCAATGAAAGTAAACATTAGCACGAAATAATCTCCCTGTAAATTTGATTTATTATTCTTGAAAATGGAATAATTTCTATATACAATATTCCTTTTATGTACCCTTCTTTTTTTCCATTTTGTGACATATTTTTTAGTATTAAGTATTTTGAAATTTACATTGATTTTGTATTTCACCTGTATTTCCAATACATTGTATAATAAACATAACTTTTACTGCTTTAGTAGTTATTATAAATTTACGATTGCATGTCATGTTGAAAGAATGATTCTGCATACTTTACATTAAAAAAATATTGCTGAAGGGGAATCTCACAATTTATAATATGTTTGATTTATGTTTAATTGAAAAGTTTATTTATAATAAGGTAAAAAATTATCTTTCATAAAAATTTTGAGATTTGACTATGACAGTTTTGTTAACTTAGATGTTTACTGTTGAGTTTAAACATTTTTAAAGATATATTTTTATTAAAAATATAATATTTATCATACTTTTTATTCTTACGGTGATAAATATGGTATTTTTTAATATAAAAAAATGTACTATTTTTAACTGCTTATGTTGAACTCTTAAGACTAAAATTAATTTTTTTAAAGTATAAAACCGATTAAATAAGCTACTGGTTGATTTGAGAAATTAACTTTGGACGACATCGATCGTACTCATGGGAGCTGTAAACAAAGAATAACGTGTGCATGAAATCATTGTTATCCTAATTATAATGATGCTGGGTCCTTTCCTTCGTTTCAATATCCTGCTTCCAACTTTTACCTAACATTGCTTGCGATCATACGTTGAATATGATACCAAAAATCGGGCCCTATCAAATATTGAAATTATTCTTCTCTCTACCAACATTTATGAATGAGAGCTGGAACAGAATATGAGTACTCTTCGAGTTTGTTAAGCTCACAAGAATAATTAACAAAACTTAATAAGAGGACAAACGAGAATCCATGGGAATTGCATCCTTACAATTATTTGCACTGCATTAAAAACGTAGCTGGTGAAACCAAACTTTAATTAAATGGTCGATAGACTTTTACTAACATAAAACAGTATAGAAAAACCTCATTAATAAAGTGCCTTGATTCTAAAGACACTAATTAGCATTTACCTTAACTAAAAAGAAAATCAAAACACCCGAATGATGTGTACCCTCTTTATGTTGGACAAATCATAAGCCACTAGAGAATTAGATTCTACGACAGTTTTTCTTTGTTATTTATCTTATATGTCATTTTTTATATCTTATTTTACAGATCATTTTGCAACAAAGCTAATCCAAAACCCAACTATTAAATTGGCTCTGTTTTAACCACGGTGTTTGAACACTTGTTTTCATACTGCATATGTTTAAATATCAATAATTCTTGTTCTTACATCGATTTAACACAGGATTGAATATCGGTACGGACTGAAGATATGAGTTACTTACATTGATTATATATAATAAGAGATTTGAAGAACAAAGATCTATCATTTATGTGAGCAGGGAATTTTCTTAGCGGAAAATCAGAGAAGAGAATTGAACATAGACTAAAAAAATTCTAAAGCCCAAGAGCCTCTGCCTGCTGCAGTTTGGTTGACTCAACGTTTTACGACAATTGTTGACCAAAATAAAAGTTATAAGACAAATGCACTTTACGGCAACCACTTAATTAAGATTATTGACCACTGACTACTCCATCTTAGAGATCTAGAGTTTAAATTCTATTGGGACCAACTCCAAGTGAGATATAAAATGTGACAGAATAGACTATCTCAATGTGCAACTTTCAACCCTCCTCCCAAAAAAGCCAAACTTTACTCTGAATATGAAGTAGACTTATTTTAATAAAAGATATTAGCATTGCTAATAACCAAAAAAATTAATTTAATATAAATTTTTAAAATATAATCGATTACCAGTGTCTTGTATAAATTCACAATACATATTTAATTTAGCAACAATAATAACGAAAATCATATCGTATGAAGGGAAGTTAGTTAACAAAAACATCGTGAGTAATCAATGTATAAATTTTAGCAAATTT